CCCGCGTCCCGGGGCTGCGCTCCCCGAGGGGGCTGCGTCCCGGCACCGGGGGGAAAAGAACCCCGTGGGTCTTGCTCCTCCGCAAGAGCAGCAGCGGGGGGACGAGGGCCGGCGCGTCAGCCCCCTCTGCGCCCCCAAAGGGGAAGCCGGCAGCCGAGAGGCGAAGGCAGGTTTCGGCAGCGCCCCCCCGGCGCGCTCGAGGTCCCCCGGTACCTTGTCGAAGTGGTTGAAGGAGGCCCTGAACTCCTGCATCTGCTCCTGGCTGATGCCCTTGGCGTCGCGGGTGAGGATCTGGTTCTCCACCTCGTTGATGGTGCGGGCGATGGTGGTGAGGAGCTGCTCCCAGCCCACGCGGATGTGCTGGAGGGGGAAGAGGCGGTGAGGGGCTCGGGGAGGGGACACCGGCTTGCCGAGCTGAGGCACGCCGCCATTCGATGGCGACTCTTGCAGGGAAGCAGGAATCCCTGGATGGGAAGCAGCTACCAGTGACACCCCAGCACCCCGACGCTCACCGGCTCCCGAGCCCGGGCTTTGCAAGGCTCGAACCAGAAGGGACAGAGCACCTTTGGGCGTCACTGAACCCTCTGGGCGCACCCCGATGCCCGGAGGAGAGAGCAGACGCCTGGTCACGCCTCTCCCTTTGCGATCCTCGAGCCGAAGGGCACCCACCTCCATGGTGTAGTTGGTGTGCTTGTTGTCGAAGATCAGCGCCTCCTGGATGAGCTGGTGCTGCTGCTCCAGCAGGTCGATGTTGGGTTTGTAGTCCACGATGCTCTGCTCGTATTGCTTGAGGTGGTTGAGCTGGTCCTCCAGCGTGCCGTTCATCTCGATGGAGATGCGCCCGATCTCCTGGAAGGGGGGGAAAACAGCCCCAGCGGGGCTGGGTCAGGGTCGGGCACGCGAGAAGCAACGCCGCGAGCTCTGAACGGCGCCAGCCAGCCGCCCGCGGCTGACGCGAGGCGCTGACGCGCGCTCGTAAGCGCGAGCGTGAGCCCTGGGCTGCACCAGGCCGATTTTATCAACGGATTCATCCCTTTCCGTCCTTTTTGGAGCTGGGGCAAGGCAGACGCAGGGCAGCTCTCGCTCCGAAGGGTCTGCCTTCCCCGGCCCTCTGGACAGCAGATGGCACTCCAGCTCCGGCGGAGCCCACCGGGATCACCGCCGCCAGCTGCCCCTCCGGCGCCGGCCAAGCCCTCACCTCCATCTTGGTCTGGATCCAGGGCCCCACGATGTTGGCCTGGCTGGCGAACTGCCGACGTAAATGTTCGTTGGATTGCTGCTTGCTCTGCTCGTCGAGCAAGGCATGGTCCCTCTTCGGCACCAGCTGCTGGACCTGCGAGGAGAAGGGGACGCACGTGGCAGCGGGGACAAACCTTTGCCAGGGCTGTGGGGGATGAGGGTATTTGGGAGAGGCGGCTACGGAAAGGCACGGCCGGGAAAGCCACGATGCTCCAGGCACAACGGGAAGGAGCTTGCGGAGCATCCGGCTGTGGAGGGAGCAGGAGCTACAGCCCCCAGATGATCCCTTTGTTATTATTTGCTGGCACACTAACGGGCGCTTCGGCTGCACGTGGTGCTGGTGCTGGAGGAGACACCTACCCGTTCCCACTTGGAGTTGATGATCTGCGGGGTGACAGAGGTGTAGGGGTTGTTCCCAGAGAGCTTGATGCTGTTGAAGTCCGCGATCCGCTGCGCTTCCCTCTGGATGCCCAGGATGGCCTCGCGCTCCTTGTCGGCGTCGGGCAGGGTGGACTTGAACTGGTCGTGAGCAGCGATGAGTCCCTGCGGGAGACGGGATCCAGGTTAGAGAGCGGGGCCAGGTCTGGGGAGCTGCTTTGAGAGTGATTTTATACCAGCTCATCCTTCCCCCCAAGAGAAGCTCCCTGGATCTTGCAGACCCCCGAGTTCACGTGAAAAACGGCCAAGAAGCCACCTCAAAACAGGAGGCAAAGGTCTCTGCAGAATGCGGAAGGCTACAGAGCCTTTGCACCTCTCCTCCCGCGGCCTCCTACCTCGATCTCCTCGATGGTGTGGACGATGAACATGTCCTGAAGGTCTTCCATGGCGCTCTCCATCCAGTTGTTGAAGGGGGCCGCCCTCTTCGCGTACTCCAGGTGCAGCTCGTCGATCGTTTCCAGCTGCTTCTCCGTTTTCTGCACATGGCCGGGAGGAGGAGTGAGGAGCGGAGGAACCCCCCCGTGGTGGCCCTGTCCCCTCTGTCCCCACCCGGTGCAGGGAGCCAGCAAGGAGATGGGACGCCCTTACCTCGAGGGCCTCTCTCCTGCTGTGGGTCAAGGAACCCAGCACATCCCACTGGTCGCAGATCTTCTGGCACCGAGCGTTCACGCTGGGCGAGTCGTAGTAATCCAGCTCGCTTTAGCGGGGGGAAGAAAGGCAGCGGGGTGAGGATACGGGGGGAGAGAGGCTCGGCTGGAAGGGACCAAGAGAGCCGCTTCGGGACGGGCTAAGCTCCCCCATACCCCTCCTGCCCTGCTCCATCCCGACGCAGGGACGTGCTCGGCTACGAGCGGCCCTTCTGGCAGCTTTCGGAGCCTCCACAGTGGAGAGCAGGGCGAGCTCTGCCAACGGTGGCGCTGGGGCTCGTTAAAAGCCCAGCGCACACAAAATCGGCTGCTGCCTGAGGTGCTGCGGCTCCTCGGCCCCTGCCTGGCTCCTCGCCGTGGCGTTTTCCATGCTCCCGAGCCGCGTGTCCCCGTTTCCCGGTTGTCGGTGACTCGAGCCGCTGGAATAAGGGCTCCATTCATGGCTTCGCCCTGCCTTTGGCTTTCAGTGTACTAATTGTGTGCAAGTTTATCTGACTAGGGGAAAAAAAAGAGCCGGGCTGCCTTACAATAACCGTATTCTAGCAGCGGAGAAAACAGGAGGGGGAAGGGACGGGCAGAACAATAGGGGCACTGTGCGGAGGAGGCAGCCGCCGGCGCGGCGCTAGGAGGTGAGCCGCGGCCTGGGTTTTGCCGCGAGACCCCCGACACGAAGGGTTTTGTGGAGAGGAGGGGAGGAAGGGGCCGAAGCGCAGCTCGCCCCAGGGCGTTCGGGGGTCCCCGGGGCATTCGGGGGCGTGCGGACGTACTTGAGCTCCTGCGCGATAGCCGCGATCTGCTCCACGCGGTCCTGGTGCGCCGCCAGGTCGCTCTCGAAGGCTTCGTGCTTCCTGATGAGGGCTTTGATGTCTGACAGCGTGGCGGTTTCGTAGTCCTTCTGCTTCAGCATGGCCTCCTTGCCTAGGGACAGAGGAGCGAGGGCCGTCACCTCCCCGGCGGGGCTGATGCTTTGTCCCCCTCCGTACGCGCTGGGAGAGGCACAGAAGCGAGTCCTCCGGCTTGCAGGAGGCCACCTGGGCAGCATCTCCTCGGAAGACGGACCCAAACGGACAGCTTTCCCCCCCGCCCAAGCTTATACGCATCCAGAAACCCTGAAATAGCAAAGAGCATCTCTGGGACGTGCTGCCAGGGGTTTGCTACCCCCCGAAAGCAGCATCAGCTCAGGGACAGGGACCCTGGTCGCTCACATCGGCAGCTCGCCACCACGGCCCCACTGCTGCGGTCCACGGCGTGGACGGTCCCTCCTGCTCCCGGAGAAGCAGGGCGGCTTGCGGATTTTTAAAAGGGTCAAGCTGCTTTCCAAGGGCTTTGTTGCTGTCAGGGTGACTTGCCTTTGATGGACGCAAAATCTCCCCGTCCCCCCGCCACCGAAAGGTGTCCCCCAACCCGCTACCTTCGGTCCAGGCCTCGTGGATGGACGCCTTCTGCCTGAACTTCTCAGCCAGGTGGTCGAGCCGCTCCAGCCGCCTGATCTCGTTCAGCAGCCATTCCTCGTAGCCCTTCTCGGCTTGCTCCAAGTGCTGCCAGCCGTTATTGATGTCCTGGGGACGGGGCAGAGGGCCTCGGGCTCAGGGGACTGCGGGGGTGGGAATGGCTGCTCCTCTCCCCCACCTCCTCCTCATCACCCGTCCCCCGCCGCCGGCAGCAGGTCCCCTCCTCCCCACGCCGATGGCAACGGAGGCACGTGCCCCTCTGAAGCCGTTCTGGCCACTTTGGGAGCACCGTCTTACATCAGCGCAGGTTGTGGGAGAAGCTGAAGAGGAACCCACCCCCCAAAACACCTGTGGGAGCACAGGAGAGCAGCTCCAGCTCCGCTGCTCTCAACCACAGCCTTGAGGGGAACCCCATCAGCGTGGGCACCCCTCCCACCCCATCACCCCCAGATCTCCCAGCTCCGCTCCCCCCCGGCGCAGGATGCTCAAGGAGCTGCTCACCGAGACCATCTTCCCCTCGGAGGGCATGAAAGCAGGTCTGTTGCTCAGCCGGAGCTTTGTCTGCAGGGTGTTGAAGTTGATCTCCAGCTGGCATTTCTCCTGCACTTTGGGGGGCTTGTGGACGCGCCGGTAGTCACGGAAATCTTCCAGCTTCTGCTGCATCTCCTGTATGGTCTTCTGCGGGCTGCGGTCCTCCAGCCAAGGGATGGTGCGCTTGATCCACTCCAGCAGCTATGGGGGGAATGGGATTTGGTGGGTGGGAGGCCGGGAACGGCGGAGGGAGGTCAGTTTTAGGGGGAACGGGTCCCCGCGACCCCGCTGGCGACGGGGCGGCTTACGTCGGAGGCGAGCTTCTCGTAGTCTTCCATCAGGTGCTCATTCTCCTGGTTGACGGCCAGCACTTTGCAGATGCGGTTCGCCGCGGTCTCGGCCTGGAGGGGAAGATAAGAGCGGCGTGAGGAGAGATTCAGAGCCACGGAAAGCTGCGGTGCCCCAACCCGCACGTCCCCATCCCAACCGGACCCGTTCCGCCGGAGCAGCGCTCCGACCGGCCTGGGGGATTTGGGAGCTGCGGGGGATCCCCCTCCGGCAGCCCGACTGGGTGCGCAGCATCTCCGGGCACCGTGCAGGGGAGACGCAGCCTGGCCTCGAGGCTGCGGAAAGCCGGGCTCCCCGAGACTGTCACGGGTGGCTGCCAGCTCAGCTCCACCATCGCTACCTCCGCACGAGCATCGCGGGTCAAACCTTACCAACGGCTTCGCGGACAAGGCAAACTCGGCTTTCGAGTGCCAGAGCCCCGAAACAGGCGGCCACGCTGAGCGCGTGCCACCATCACGAGCGCGGCCCGCGTGTTTTTCCTTCCCTGCTCTCTATCCGGAGGCGCGCTGCCCTGCCGGGGGGTCTGGCGCCGCTTTGCACGGAGCGGGAGAAAGCTCATCACATCCAGGCTGCTCTTTTTTTTTTACCCATCTCTAAGCACCATCCTTCGGTCTTGGGCTCTTCCATGAAGGCAGATCCTCTCTACACCGGGCGGGAGGGTGAGGAGGAGGCAGAAAAGATAAGCCTGGGGGATCGAGTACCTTGGTAGGCAGCACAGAAAGAGTCCAAGAGGAGGAGTTGAAAGCCAGACATCAACAGAAATAGTGGAGAGGGTCTACAGAAGGATGGGGAAGAGGAAAAACGAATTGCCACAGAGGAAAAGGAAAATAAATCAATAAAGAAGAGAAAAGCTAGGCATCGGAGGTCTGAAACCCATCAAGGAAAAGGCAGGAGGGAGACGGGACACGGTGCCGGGCTGCTCCTCCTGCTGCCCCGGGTACGGCTTAACTGTGTTAGCCACGCTCCCCGCCGAAGCCAGGCGCTGCCGCCTCTGAGCGCGGCGCAGAAGAAAACAGCACATGTTCCCAGAGCTAATCGAGGCCAGCTGACAAGGCGGGCATGCCGGCCAGCAGCAAAAATAAAAACCACTGGCCAGGCTGGGATTTCCAGCCCTCCAGATGCAGGCTGGCGCTGGCGCAGACCGCAACATTACTCCCCTTTCGCGCTGCTGGCGACGGGTCCTCCCCCCCCCAGCAAGTAAATTAACCCCAACCTTCGCTAGCCATCCCGCAGCCGCCCGTGCCGAGGGGCGGCCGTCCTCAAGAGCTCAGTGCCGACCACGCTCGGGGGGCTCTGACCACAACTCGGCTCTGCGGATCAAGACCTGGATTGCTCCCGCACGAGCTGAGGCTCAGGCTCTGCCCCAGCTCTTCGCGCGCCAATGGCTTTCTCAGCCACCGCCCGTCCCAGGGGCTCGTTCGTTTCCCGAATCCCTCCGATCAGCACAGAACGGCCATTGCCGATTCACCCGGAACAGCGATGCCTCTCAAATGCACGCACTGCGCCGCGAGCCACCCCCGTTTTGGGTCTAACACGAGGCGTTTAGGAAGGAAGGAAAGGAAAGGGCAGCTGAGCGATGGTGCCGAGCAGGGAGGTAGGGCAGGAGCCCTCCCCAGGCACCCCACGGTGACAGGCAGCGCACTGACACGACGACAGATTTCACGCCCGGCTCCGAGCGCTGGTCTAACGAGTCTCCCTAACGAAGGTCTCGGGCTGGGCTGGAGGCAACACCGGCCCCCCTCTCCCCAAGCCCACGGGTAAAGCTGATTTAAGATGTTGCCTCGAGCTCTCGCAAGCCTGGCTTGCGCTGAAGAGATGCATCGGAAACCCGGCTCGCGGTGCAAACCGGGACGCGGGCTCTTCTCGGTTTACCCAGGTTACCTCCTGCCCCGTACGGTGACAACGGCCCAGCTACGCTAAGCCTGGAAAGACTCCTCCAGCGCGGCAGCCAGCCCGGCTCTCCTCCTGGGCAGGGCTTACGCTTTGCCCTTCTCCCGAGTGAAGCAGAGCTAAAGCCGGCCCGGTTTTTACGTTTCCAGAAGCCGTGCAGCAGCGCAACAACCCTCGGGAGACCGAAGGTCCGATGTTAGTAGCGGCTCGACCCAAGCACACAGCTCCACCCGGCAAAGCTCACCTTCTGAGCACCCGAGAAAGCGTGGTAGAAGCAGGAAACGTATGTCATGATGGCCTTCTCATCGGGCCTGAGAGTGCCTACAATATCTGCGCAGAGAGAAAGGGAGGAGAGAGGGTGAAGAAGCGGCACGGCAATCCTCAACCCCCCTCGGGCATGCAGCGGAGGGGAACAAGCGCTTGCTGGGGCCCGGGATCTGGACCAGAGCTGGCTGACGGGGTTATTTTTGCCGCTGCGCTTCCCTTGCTTAATAGCTCAGCCTCTTGCAAAGTGCTGAGGCTTCGTTTCGAGATCTATCTGAGCTCCCAGGCCTCATCGGGCAGCTTCAGGGAGCTTTCTGCCCCAGGTTAGTGCCGGGCTGGTGCTCTGCCAGCCCCTCGGCCCAGCTGTGCCGGCATCGCATTACAGACAGATTTGGGGAAGCCGCGCGGCTTTTTTAAACCCATGTGAACCAGCTGAGGTCTGGTTCCCAAGTCAACAAGAGACAAAACGGCCATCTGAAAGAGAAGTCGCATGAGTGTAGGATGCTGCAGTCAGAAATGTTACAGCAAGATGGACACAGCCGCCTCCGGTACCTTCTGAGCCCCAGAAAAGGCATGGTAGAAGCTCGACACATAGGTCATGATGGCTTTCTCGTCGGGGCGAGCTGTGTTGACAATGTCTGCAAGTGAACAACAAGGGTTAGACTGAGAGGGGGACGTTCGCCGCTGCTGGCGTGAGCCAGGCTCGCTCTCCAGGCTGTGCCAAGGAGCCAGCTCCTCTTTCGGCTGGAATCCCACAAACAAGCAGCTCTTAAAAGCCAGATCGATACACCTGTATGGGCAGAAGAGGGTGTTAAACACGGTTGCCTGACGTTAAACCACTCCCCTCCCCAGCTCCGAGCGAGGCTGGCTGCCAGCACGCTTCCTCGGTGCCCGAAGGAGCGGATCTTCCATCAGGGACCTGGGCATTTACGGTGCGTGGACAAGGTCACCCTTCGCGTGACAGCGCGAAGCACCCGGAGAGCTTACCCTCTGCATCCAGCATCTTGGGGATGTCCAGGTACTTCTCCGCCACCTCGAAGGCGTTGTTCAGGTTCGTCACGGGGTCATCCTAGAGGGGGGAGAGGGGCTAATGACGAGGGCTGGCGGCCGAGGGCTGCAGGGAGCACAGACGCCTTGCTGAGGCAGTTAAGCAGATGGACGGACGGACGGACAGCCACGATTCTCCGCCAGCTCGAAGCTCGGTTTTTAGACGAGAAAAGCAGCAGAGAAGAGACCGTGCTCCCACCGAGTTTTACCTTTCTGAGCTTGTCGTACTCGATGAGCTCCGGTCTGTGTCTGTGGATCAAGGCATTAAAAGCAAGACCGTCTTTCCAGCTGCAAGAGAAGAGGGGAGAGTGAGATCCCTGCGCCGGCACGGGGCTCAAATTCACACGCACGCATCCCCCGCCATCCCTCTTGTCCACCCCTCCCCGATTCACTAATTTACAGCAGAAGGGCCAAGGCGAATTGTGCACCTTCCTCAGATCCTGGAAAACCCCGCCTGGAAAGGCAGCCCGGAGAAGGGGCAGATATTTCAGGCGTAACCGCAGCAAAAAAAAAAAAAAAAGAAAAAAAAATAGCACGAGCTGCGTTTTCCCCTTCCAGCCGTGCTGAAAGCTTCGCCGCTAAATATTTCAGAGCCTCGAAACCCAGGGGAGCAGCACTAATGCCTCCCGCAGCGAGGGAGCGGATCTCGGAGCTGAAGCGGCCGTTGAGGAGGGTTACCTGATGTGGAAGTTCTGCACGTTGACGTTCTTATAGGGAGCCGTCTTCCTCTGACACCACAGCAGCAAGCCCTCCTTCGCCGAGGTCTCTGCAAAAGGACGCGGTAGCTCATGAACCGTCCGGACCGGAGAGCGGGTTCGGCGTGCGAAGCCGCCTACGGCGCACGTATCCCTGCCCCTTACCTTCCACCGAGATGTCCTGAATGGCAAATCTGAGGATAATGGTCCAGATCATGCCCAGCGTCATCTTCGCGTTGCCATCGACGATCTCTGAAAGCCAAAGGGAAAAACCCGACGTTCAGCCTCCCGCGGCCGGAGGCAGCCACCATCCCTTCCCACCGACGGAGTAATTCCAAGCGGTGCGGGAGCAGGGAGTCAGTGGGGAAGGTCTGCGCCTCTCCAGTGCCTCATCGGGAAGCCGAACGCTGGGACTGCCCCTCCGGCACATCCAGAGAGACACCGACGGCTTCGCAGCTCGCAAGGACAGGCCAGGAGCTCATCGGATCTTCAGGAGAGCAGGATGTCAGCGAACGCCACCGGCACACAGGCAGCGCGAGGAGCTCCTTCCCCCGTCCCCGCTTTGCCTTCGGGTGCGGAGGAACAGGCAGGAGCTGCCGGAGCAGTGCCCCGGAGCTCAGATTTGGGCTCGCCACCCAACCTGCCCCACGCTTGGATTTCGTCACGCGTGTTCGTCTGGCATGTCGGAAGCTACGAGACGATCCCGCAACGTGCAGCTCGCCCTTTGCCCACGACACGTCGGATCCTCGCCCCGTGTCTTTCACGACCAAATAAGTCCAGAACCGGAGCAAGCGTCCTCCAAAATAAATGTTTCCAAACCCGGTTTCCTGATGGTGGTGTTAACGCCCAGCTCCGTCTCTGCCGGATCTTGCGCCGGACACATCTTCGGCAGGTCCGGACGGTGACCCGCCGCAGCCCACCGCGTCCCAAGCTGATGGGCCAGCTCGTTCAACCACTGAGAACTGAACCACGGTTCCCGAGGAGCTCGGGCTCCCACCCTGGCCAGGGAGGCTGGAAGGTGTCTCCTTGAACAAGCAGATGTGACATTTCTCATCTCTTGAGCAACCCAAGCGCTTGTTTTGGGGGGATTAAGTCAAGATACTCAAAGAGCAGTTGCCTGCAGTGACCGCTCAACTGACGCATGGGAGACTTTGGTGGATAAACGGCTGTTGTAACCACCACCACACCCTCGCATCTTGTATTTTAATGCGGCACCGGTTGGAACACGCACCGGTTTCGGGAACAGGCAGTCTTCCCCAGCAGGCAAGCGACGCCAGCCGACAAGACTTCAAAGATGTAACCTCGGAGCGAGCCGCGGTCTTCCAGCCTCTTCAAAAACTGGCTCTGCAAGGTGAGCCGCTGCCAAACGGGGCCCCGTCCCCTGCAAAAACCACCCTGAAGCTCCGGGGCAGCCCTTGGGCTTCGTCAGCGGTGAGTAGATCCAAAGGTGAGCGGTCCTGGCTGCTGTGCGGACTGGGAAATCCTCTCCCCCAGCCCCAGGGAGGAGCAGGGAGACCTCTGAGCAAGGTGGAGTGGGAATTAAATCCGGCGTTTAACCCGCCTCTCTTCGGCTGGTAGGCTCCCGGCTCGCAGGAACGCGACGGCACCGCATCCTCTCCCACGTCAGGACAGCGTTTGCAACGTGAACCCTTCGACGTCCACGTGTTGGGTGCAACGGCAACGCCGAGCCCGCTCCCCGAGGCAAAGGACACGCTCCGCTTCATTTGCAACCGGAGAAAAGCCGAACTTTTTTTCTGCTCCGTTTGACCAGGCTGTTTTTCGTGGGGATGGACCAAATCGACACAGCTGGGGCAGAGCCGGGAGCTGGCCCGGCCCTGGAGAACCCCATGACTGAAGAAAATCAGAGATCCTGATCTAATGGGAGGAATTTTGTTTTTTAAACCATAACGCTTTTCCTGCCAGTACGAACACTTGGCGAGGCTCAAAGGGAACAGCCGGCAGAATGACTTGGAACGACGCAGATGCAAATATTTGGCTTTTCTAGAGACTTTTTTTTGACCCGATCACCGGTGGCAATTAGTCAGGGCAGCAGCAGGTACCCGTGCGATGAGCCCTGGAGGAAGCCGAGCCTTCAACCGATCACCAAACCTCCCTGCCTGCAGGCAGAAAATCCACCAAAACACCTTGGGGTGGCTCCTGCGGCCTTTCCGGAGCTCGCCGTGGGAGAGGGGGAGTTCAGGCCTCGCTTCGCCCGGGCCTGGGGGGCGGGCTGGAAGGAGCCACGCTTTCCCGATGACTCCAGCAAAGCTGTGTTGCGCAACAGCTTGCCCGAAATAGCATTGACCTTGGAGAGGAGACTGAGCAGCCTTTAACCTCCGAGCTCCAACGCGGCGAGCGGCACTCGCCTGGCACTTCCCGCACCGCGTGCTCGGACTCCCCTGCGGTGCCGAGAGCGGCACCGCCTCCCGGCTGACTCAACCGCGGACGGGTCGGCGGCTGCGGCGATAAACCCACGCAGCGATGCGGGGACGCCGCCCAGCACCGTGACTCACCCGGCTCCGCCGTGCCCGCGGCCATAAACCAGGCGAACTGCAGGCAGGCGCTGTCGGCACGTCGTTCGGGTGCCAGCGCCGGGTCCCCGCACCAGCTCGCGGTGTCACGCTGCAGGGCAGCGGGCAGAGACCGCAGGTCACGGTGACACAGAGCAGCCGGTGTCAGTGACAGCCAGCAAGCCTTCCCGCTACACGGCGTGGCCTGGATTGGGCCACCAAGATGTGGTGAAGGTCCAGACTCACCTTCAGCTCCTATAGAGACCAGCTTGACGCCTTTGCTGGCGATGAAATCGAGGGCTTTGTTCACGTTGTTGATCTTATGCACTCTCATTTTTCCCCGCTCCGGTTTTGGCAATCGCTCCCCTGGAAAGGAGAAGCCAGCGGGATTAAAGCTTTTTGTTTAAGGTTAACAGCAGAAAACCATCAAGGAGGACGAGCGTTTAGAGATGAGGCCACGGGACAAAAGACTTGCTTTGAGGTATATTAAAAAAAATAATAAAAACCCCACCAGTGTCCCCAAACGCCGCTTTATAAACCTCGCAGGGGCTCCTCTGCACATTACGAATAGCGCAGGTACACGGGACGTCGACGATGATGGGCAGGAGGGACGGAAGGTTGCACCAACACGTCCTGCCCGGCAAAAACACGGAGCGGGGACTGACCTGAAATCACCTCCAGAAGCAGCATGAGCTTGAGGCCGTCGCGGAAATCCTCGTCGATGTTCTCTATCTGCGTGCCGGCCTTCCGCAGGTGGGAGTTGCACCAAGCCGTGAACGTCTGCGAGGACAAGGCAGGAAAAAGGATGGTCAGACCGGCGACCGCCGAGCTCTGGAGACAGCACCCCTCTCCATCCCACCTCGCCACGAACCGATGCACCGACTCCCCCTTTTCGGGGGCCGCCCCGGGCCCGCCTCTCCCCCGCGCCGTTGGCAAACCCCGGGACGAAAGTTTTGCGCGTTGTTTTGTAGAACAAACAGGGAAACGGGGACCCTGCCGGCATGCCGTGACGTCTGCCGGGAACAAAAGCCACCCCGCGGCACCGGCGGATCCCCGGCTCCGCTTTCCTTCCGCCGGGCTGCTCGCTGCAGGGATGCTGGAGGCCCACGGGGGATTCGCCCCCCGAAAGCTGCCGCCGGGCTCTGCCAAGCAAGCAGGAGGCAGGATGTCCCGTCTGGCAGCTGCCTGCACCACAGGCAGCCGGCCCTGCCCACCCACGCCCCACGAGCCCGGGGGGGGTTTGCAATAACGCCTTTGCCAGCAAGGGGAGAGGTTTTTCCGCTCCGTCCCCCCCCTCGGATGTTCGGCAGCAAATATTTGCTGGCAGCGGCTGGCGGGGGTCAAGACGCCGAACTGCAAACAGAGCAGATTCCTGCGCTGAGGCTTTGGGCCGCGTCTCGGACTCCCCCGGGAGCAGGGCGTTATTCCCAGAAGGCGACCGGGCATTCGCGTACGTTTAAGGTGCTGCCGGCTCCCAGTGCTCCCAGTTTGCAGCCGGGGTTCCCCTGCAGACCCCGGCCCCGGGTAGTAATGCACGGAGCAGGTATTTCCTGCTGCTCCACCCGGAGCCTTTAGCGCTGCCGAATTACGGCCTGAACTCGCAGCTTTTATTTCCAAAAAGCCGGAGGCTCAGGCTCAGGATTCACGCTCGTAGCTGCCGGCATCTTGGCTCTGCGGAGCAGCCGTGCTCGGGGGGAAAATAAACCACCGTTAACCAGGTGGCAAAGTTTAGGCCGTGAAATTGCAATCGCTCCCACTCCCCCTGTCTGCGGTCCGAGGCCGTCGCGAACCCGCTGGGCACGGTTCGGTTTGGGACGGTCCCGTTGCTGGCTCGGGGAGGGTGACCCGGGTTCCCCCCCTCTCCTTGCCACCGCGGCACGGCCGGGCGGCTGAACGGGGAGCATTGTTCCAGGCCGGCTCATGGGCTGCGGTGAGCTCACGGCCGGGGAATGCTGCAGTGACAGCTTTTAACAAGCCATTCATCCCACCAGGACCAGGGGGAAAGCGTTTCCCCCCGGCTCGGGAGCAGCACCGCTGGCTGCAAGGGGGCCAGGCGGCACGATCCCGGCTTTCAGTTAAACCCAGACCAGGCTGGGAACCAAACCTGGAAGCGGCTTCGAGCCCATCCTGCGCGGAGACTCCCGAAGCCAGCGGTTTGAGGAGCTCGTTCCACCCCAATATCTGCTTTTAGGGCAGGGTTTTAGGAGAAGAAACATCCTCTAGCCGCTGAGGTGCCGTTTCTGCTGGGCTGAACACCGCAGGATCCATGCCTGCTTTGCGCCTGAGCCGGACGCTGGCTTCGCGGCATCAGAAATACAAATAGGCCAGGATTGACCTTAAACAGGGACGCGGGGTCACCTTCACAGGGGAAACGCGGCAGCTCTGTTTGTTAAAGCTGTTTTTGCAGCCCACGTCCCGGCGGAGAGACCGGGACAGCCTGGGCGAGCTCACCTGCGCAGCCCCACGGCACCGAGAGCGTGCCGGGCAGCCCGGTGGCTCGGAAAAAGTCACCTTTCCTACCCTGGGACTTTATGATTTAGCACTTCACGCACACTAGGTCGCCTCTGTGGCTTGCCCTGGGCCTGGTGGCGTGGCTACCTCAGCATCCCGGTGGCAAGGAGAGCAGAGATGGCCGTATAAGGGCAGGAGAGAGGTAAATCCGCAGCCGGTGAGGGTGTTCCCAGGCTGCTTATCGCGTCTGTCAGACGTCACTGAACAACCGCTCAGCAATGACAGCCGTCCTACACCGCCGCATGCCTCTGCCAGGCGTGTCCGGGTGTTGTTGCCGAACAAGGCGAGCTCACCGGCGCTCGCCGCGGTGCCAGCTGGGGGAAACTCGACGGAGAGACCAGCTGCGAAGCGAGCCCCGGCACGTGGAAAAGGCGAGTCAAGAGCTGAATCACGCCCGGCGTGGCAAAACCCACCCGTAGGCAGCTGCTAAAAAAAATCCAAGCGTAAAAACAGGAATAAACCTCCACCTCCGAAGGAATTTTTCCACTTTACATTTGGAGCGACTCAGCCCCGTCGAGGCGCTCGCTCACACGGCTCGCGTTTTGCAAGGACGCTGCTCTGCGTAAAAACATTAAACCGTGCGGCGCCGAGCTGCTGCGCGATACATCAGGCTGCTGCTGCCGGCCAAGGACAGTGGCGGCCGCGGGGACGGCTGCGTTTGGGCAGGTGGCTTCCCCGGGGCTTTTTGAAGCCGCCCGGCGTGCCGAGCCGACGCGCCGCAGCCCCCGGGCTCATCCGCAGCCCCGGCTGAGGTCCCCCCTTCGCTGCGGCGGCGCCGAAAGCCCGCGCGGGCAGCCTGCGCTTGTTTCCGAAACACTATGGAAACAGCCACGGAGTTAAAAATAGTCGCAGAAAGCAATAAAAAGCCTTCGAGCTCTCCCAAAACCTCCACAGAAGCTCGTTTCCTCAAAAGATGACAGATCTCTTCCAAGTCCCATGGATTTCTTTTCCTACGGCTCCCGGGCAGCTGCGGCACCGAGTCGGGTGCTGTTTGCCGGGCTGAGGCCTCGCTCTCCCCCTGGGTGCCCCCTCTCCCAAGCGGGGGTACCCGCACTCCCGGAGCGGAAGCTTTTACCCCCCGAGCCAGCCAGGGCGGAGATGCTCGGAGCCCGTTAGCTAAACCCCACCAAATCGACCCCAAAAAGCAGCTCGGGTGAGCGCATCTCGCTGTATCAAGCTGCCTCGGGCCGGAGCTGAGCCTAGCCAGACGAGATGAGCCAAGCCTAACGAAGCCGGCTTAAGGACCGACTGGTGGGCAAAGAGCAGCTTTCCCGCAGCAATGTGTTACGAATAAAAGTTACTAAAAAAGGAGATTCCACACATGCTTCTGGAATTTCCTTCCCACGGAGGCGCTGGAGAAACGCTTTCCAGGCATTGTATCAAAGCCGCCTTTGTCGGGGAGGAATAGGTGGCCCCGCACCTTCCCCGGGCGCCCAGCCCGAGCCAAACCCCCCTTGGCGGGGGGAGTCCTCCCCTCAACCCCACCGAAAACCCGACCCCGGCACACCTCGGGGACGGAGGACCTGGTTTCCTCCCATTTTACGCAACACCTGGAAGCTTTGAGAAAACAGGGGAAGGGAGGAGCGCGCTTGGCGAAACCTGCCTCGCCTTCCCCCCCTCCTCAAATTTAGGGGGCTTTCAGGGGTGAGAGGGGCTCATCCGAGCCCATCTTTCCATACAAGCCAAATTCAGCTTCGAAAAGCCGCTGTGGTGCCGGTTCTGGTCCTGCCGGCAAGACACCGGGCCGGGGGCTGCCGACGGGAGGCCGCTCGCCGAGGAGGGGGCTTTTCTTTTTTACCTGTCGCCTGCGAGCGTGCCAGGCAGCATCGGCTCTGCCCGGCTCAGCCGGCAACGATCCCGGCGGATTTTTGCAGCCTTCCTTCCTTTTAAGGCAAACCCCGACGCGGACTTTAGACCGACTCGAAAACCTGACCGAAATCTGTCTCTGCTGTCCTCGGAGGCCGTAGCATGGGCTGACTGTTTGTTTACTCGGGGTAATTTATGGGCAGAACCCTATCAGTATTTTTCCATTAGGTCACCGCCGACAATAATATGTCCTAAAAAAAAAAAAATAAGCATCTTTATTTAGAAATGTACTGGAATAGCTTTTTTTTTTTAACTTTAAACCAATCTCCTGTCGCCCATGAGCGCTTTCCCCAGCAAGAGGGACCTCGATCGAGGCGACTGTGGAGCGACGAGCCTGGTGATGCCGCTGGCTCCTCTGGAGCGGGTTGCAATGAGACCCCTCGCCAGCAGCCAGGCGCTTTTGGTCTCATTTCCAGGGTTTTAAGCAAAAAACATCCAGCCTGAGAGCACGCACCGCTGGCTTGAACGCAGCCACGTGCGTGGAAAGGAGTGGCGAGTCCCCGGGGGAGCCTGCCGAGGGCTCGGGGGGCAAGGCGCGGGGGGGGGGGGGGGCCCAGGGCAGGGGGGGGGGCCCCCCCTCCAGCCCCC